CCAGAGAGCAAGGGGCGAGGAGCCGGCCAGGGGGACGCCGCAGGGGCTGGGGACACGCGGGGGACGCGGGGAGGGCCGAGCTCCGTTCGGCACGTCTGCCGGTCGCAGGAGAGAGGGCGGCTCCCCCGGCGGCCACTCCCGTGACCTCCCTCGCGCGGCCGTGTGCGTGCGCGGCTGAGTGCACGCGCGCGCCCAGCTCCGCCGTTGGCTCGCCTGCCGGGCTTTCCCGCTTGCCCCTCGCAGAGCGCTCCCGGGTTTCAGCTAGTAAATTAACCGACAGGAGCGAGCATGTTCTCTCCTCTGGTTATTTGAACTCTGGCAATTTTCATCAAGTGGATTTATTGCACATCCGATAAAGCAGAGAAGGCACTGGCCAGTCATTTAATTCGGAAAACATTTTTGGCCGTCGATGTTTTGCTTGGGCTGACACCGTGCTAGGTGTTGTGAAACAAATAAAAGTTTATGGTGTGTGTGTGTGTGTGTGTATTTTTTTCCCTCAAGGTACTTATGGTTTTGTTGGCGTCATCAGAAAAGCTCAACACATGTGTATACAACAGGGCCAAAATGATGTGTCTGTCTGTGCGTGCCTGTTGAGATGGTTTTGTGTGTCCTGGGAGGGACGTGTCTGCGTCACAGTCGCACAAGCTCTCGTGGAGGACAGGAGAACCATGTCCCAGGCGCAGAGAAGGGTCTGTTTTCCCAGGGGGAGGATGCCATGTGAAGAGAGGAATTAAGACAGGGCCACAAGAGGGTTTGCTAGGAAATGGTTTGGAGACTGGCCTGTGGCAATGGGAGGTGGGCTGTGTTGGGAGCCAGCAGGCACGTGGCTGGCCGGGCACCAGGGGGCCGGTCAAGGAAGCCCTGGGACACAGGCGAAGACGCCTAGGCCCTCGCTCGACATCCTTCAAATCCTGACCTCCTCTCCTCCCTGAAGCCCTTCTGGTCCTTCCCGGACGAACTTTGCTGTCCTTTGCCTTTGCAGCTTCCCCCTTGTTTGGGGATCGTCTGTGTGTGTGTCTGTCCGCCCTCTCGGAGGCGAATGTCACGATGGTAAGGCCACACCTGCGTCTTGTTTATAGCTACAGTCAGTAAATATTTACTGGCTGGCCATGTGCACATGTGAACACCGTCGGATGGCATGAGGAATTTTGAATGTGGGAACAGCATGATGAGAATGAGATGAAAGCCACCGCTGTGCACAGGATGGGTTCTGGGACTGAAAAAGGAGAGGTGACGTGACGGCCTCCGTGTGGACGCTGGCCTTCTGTGGCAGCTGGTAAGCCTCAGAGTGTCTCATGT